CTCAAAGACCAAGGAAACACTGTCAGTAATTTCATATCAAAATGCAAATTTTGTTATGATATTAAGCACTTTTTCTGTGCTTCTAGGCCTTCCTTGCCTGCAAGAAACTAGGGCAGGTGTCTGGAGAGATGACTCTGCAGTTAAGAGCAATGGCTTCTGTTCCAGAGGACCAGGGTTCAATACCCAGTACCCACACAATGGCTTACGACCATCTATATAAAACTCCAGTCTCAGGGGAATTGATGCCCTCTTTGGACTCTTTGGAGACTGCACACATGGTGCACAGACATACACTCAGGCAGAACATACATGCACATGATATAAAAATAAATAAACTTTTAAAAAATAGAGCAAAAGTAGAGCAGAAACACAGGGTGTACTGGTAGCATCTGAGTCAGAGCTTCACCACTGGGGATATCTTTGGGTTTGACTTTCCTCATTCCCCACTTTATGTCTGAGCAAAGGAACAGGTGTGTGGAAAGGGAAACATAATCCAAAGGGCAAAGGCCATTTCCTCCTTCTGTCTTACACTCTGGCTTGACTGGCACTGTGATTACAGGCCTCTGGCATGTGCACTTGGGCCACATATCCCAGCTGTCCTGACACTTGGCTGTACACAGTTCTTTAGCAGGTGTTTGGCTCAGTTTCCTTTTGTCATGCCCAGCCTGGACTGGCTGTTACGAGGGGAGTCCAAGGACAATATTCCCAAAGCACACTGGGCAGTATTTTAGAAGCTACTACAAGCTGGATAAACAGTGGTAACAGTGCTTCCCTTGCCTCATTGGCTAGAGGGGGAAATAAATATCTAATAAGCCCCCTAAATGCAAATAATAAAGTATGATGATACAAGGACTAAAAGACAAATAGGGGGACGAGATCTCGACTAGAAAATGCCATGAACCCTTTTCTGGAAAACTAACAGTAAAACTGTGTGCCCTTGAAGACAGAAACAAGGTGTGGACTGTGACAAGGGAGCTCCAGGTGGGGAAAGAGCAACTGAGAATGGCCTGGGTGTGGAGCAGGTGAGGTGGAGGATGCATCTCAGAGCAAACAGTGAGAAAGTCATGGTGAGGGTGGCGGCAATGCGGGGAGGATGGTGACAGTTCACGGGGAAATTTAGGTGTGTGTGACATTCCCCACACTACATCTCCGACAGAATATAAAGGTAGATTATTAAATCTACTCTAAAGAGAAAAAAGGGGGATAGAGAACCAGGTTTAAAAGCAGATTCAATAATCTACCTTTTTATCCTATTTCTATATCCATCCAAGATACTACACAGCACTACACATCTCAGTGTAATTTGAATTAGATTTAAAAGAATTCTATGATCTAATTTCTATTTTTTTTTTTTTTGAAAAAAGCATTAGCATGGCTGATCTGAAGGGAATGGACTGAAGAGGCAAAGGCCAAAAAGTGACAAGAAGGGACTCTGATGAATTCAAAGAGAATGTTGTCAGGGAAGAAGTAGAGCCTCTGGTACCTGAAAACCACTGTGGTCATGGATTATGTTACGGTGAAGCGGGTGTTAAAATCAGTGTCCAGGTTCCTGCTGGAGCCATCAAATGGGTAGAGCTGAAAGTTCTTAGATTCAGAAAACTGGAGGATGCATGTGGGGGAGAGGAAGCAGAGGTGGCCCACAAGGGGTAGAGATCAAGAGTTCCATTGTGGATATGTTCAGTTGAAAACAGCTATGAAGTATCTGTGGGGAGATGTCAGGTCGTCTACACAAGTTCAGAAAAGAATTGTGGGCAAGAAGCGTACGTGTGAGTCACCAACATACCAGGTTGTTTGAAGCCATGGCTTTATAAGAAGCACCAGGATAAAAGAACTGAGTTCAAATCATAGATGAATACCAGAGAGAAAAGAGGAAGGGATCTGAGGAATTACCTCAGTTAATGAAGTACATGCCATGAAAACTGAAGGATCCCCAAACCCACATTAACAAACACCCATGTGTGATAGCACACTAGGAAGGGAGGGCCAGGTGATGTCTGGGGTCCATTGGTCAGCCTGCTTAGTTTAATAGATGACTTACAGGTCAGTGAGAGACCCTGCGTCAAAAAAGTAAGGTGGGAAGCAGGGTGATGGCTCAGTAGGTAAGGGCACTTGCTGTTAAGCCTGATAACCTGATTTTGATCCCTATGATCCCCATGATGGAAGGCAAGCATCAACTCCTGTAATTCTTCTCTCACCTCCCCACATATGCTGTAGAGTGTGCACAAACAGAATAATTTTTAAAGAACAGGGCAGATGGTGCCTGAAGAATAACACCTGAGGTTGACCTCTGACCTCCACATGAGCTTGTACACACATGTGCGCGCACACACACACACACACACACACACACACACACACACACACACACACACACACACACGCCCTCCACACACACAAACGTAGTGCAAGAGAAAGAACTCCAGAAAAGGATGAGCAACAGGGCAAAGTTGGAGAATGCAGGGAAAAAAAAATTGTCCACTGTATTGAATGCCACTCAAGAGCCTGATCACAAGAGTCTGAAAAGCACAGAGTGGGCTGGGAACTGCTGACGCCCTTGGGAGTCTTAAAAGGAGACACTTGATGGAGCAGTGGAGACTAAGCCAACTGGAATGGAAAGGATGCTGAATTGGCAAATGAAGAAGAGACACAGTGTCTGCCGGTAAAATTGTGTGAGAAGTGTAGGATGCCCAGGGAAGGTATCTATTTTAACTGATGATGTTCTAAGGAAATAATAGCAGTACACTAACAGTACAAGTGCGGTAAACTGGCAAGTGCAGAAACGCTGAAGACTTGAGAAGTAGGATAGGGTGACCGAACATAGGAGTCAGAAATTCCTGTGTCAGAAAATGCTAGAACAAGCTTATTTATGTCATAGGACAATTCTGTCAAGCAGTGGTAAGTCACTCCTGATTTGGCTGTTTAGAATATGTAGTGACACCATCTGGTCCAGTCTTTGTTTCCAATCCCCTGCCCTATCCCCCCCGACCCCACCCCCGTCCTCTTTGGGAGCCCCTTACCCAAAGCCAGTTTCTGACATTTTTTACACCATGTGATGAGAGACAATAACTCCACCTGCCAAGACCCATTAATCCCCTAACAGCTGCAGGATCTGGTCCACACCCTGACTCTCCTTCTTGAATAGCTTGTCAGGAGGGATGGAGGGATGATGGGGCTGGCTTCTGGGCTTGTTTCTGTCAGTGCGGTGGGAATTCCACCTCTACCCCATGAGATTTTCATCGTGGCACAAGTGATAGTATGATTACTACAGCATAGTTCAATTTAATTAATACTTTTGAATAGTAAAATACTGACTATACCAAAACAAGTCATCTGATACCACCAACAAAAGTTTCTGGATATCTCAATACAAAATCTTTGAAAAAGAAGAGAAGCCATGAACTGCGACTGCCCGTATTTCAGTGTGTGTGTGTGTGTGTGTGTGTGTGGGTTGGGGGGGGCATGTGTGTGTATGTGTGTGTGTGTGGGGGGGCATGTGTGTGTATGTGTGTTGGGGGGGATTCACATGCCGTGATGCACATGTGGGAGTCAGAGGACATCAGCTCTTAGTTGTTTTCTTCCACTTTGAGGCAGGGTCTCTCTTGTTCTACCACTGTGCTGTATATTCCAGGCTAGCTGACCCGAGAGCTTCTTGGGGATCCTCCTGTCTCCACTTCCCATCTTGCCAGAGGAATGCTGGAATTACAGACACATGTCTCCACGTCTGGCTTTTCTTTTGGGTTCAAAAGACCCTAACTCAGGGTGTCAAGTGTGCATAGCAAGGGCTTTCACCTCCTGAGCCGTCTGTCTCCTCAGCCCTGTACATCCATTAACTGTCTCGACTGTGAGTTAGAGGAAGACATGCCCACTATCTAAATATGTTCTTTGGAATTTCAAAGGCTGGCCAAAGAAGGAGCACACATAAAGTCTGAAATGAAAAGAGTGTGCAGTTTAATTCTGACAATCAGAAAATGTAGTAGAATTGTGCATAAGCTTCCATTTCTCACAAAGTACTTCTGAACTCAGTCTTCGGCAGTGAGATCCCAGGCCTTTACAAGAAGGGGCCTTAAAAGGAAGCAACATTCGGTAAAAATTCCTTTCACCCATGAGGAGGACTTACTCAAATTGAAACTGTTTCTTTTTCCTTGCTGAACAGAGAACAGGATAGGCAGGGAAGAATGTGTTAAATCTTGTTTGCTTCTTACTAACCCAATTTGGAATTTTACTTTTAATTTTAGGCTTAGTCCAGCTGTTACTAAATCATAATGGAAGAGGAATGTATACTATTTCCAAGAGGGGGTAAATTCCTCACTAACAAACACTTTTAATTCTAAGTTCTGAAGATTATTTTCCACATTTTCCCCTAGTGTCTGTTAGCTAACATTCAAGTTGTGGCCTGAAACACATAAGCAAGATCTCAGCACAGTGTCACCTAGGCCTGTAGATCACTTGGCAGTGTGTGGGGACCGCCCCCTGAAAACAGCAACACCTTTATTTAAGGAGCAGTGCACTTGCATTGGTGACAATGGCAAGGCTGGAAATATGAGACGAATGGGAACCATTCATCTTATTAATGAACAGAAAAGTAAACAGAAATGAGGCACCCTCGTTTGACTCTGCCCAAGTCAACCTGCAAGGACACCAATGACAAACATGCTCAGTACACTCAGAATAATAAAAAAATTAAAATAAAACACAAACAAGCAAAAAAAATAAAGCAAAACAAAAAACCCAGTAGAATCAGAAGAGGAGAAAGGCTAATGGGGAAAAAGAATGTATTCACATAGCTGGACCAGGCTGCCATGAGATATCAGGGTTTCTTAACATCTGCTGCCTGTTACCTGGCACGTCTTTGTCTGTTTGTGACAACAGAGGACCTTAGAACTTTTTTCTAAAGCCACTTCATTCAGCCCAAATCATGCAATTCCATTTAACATTTAAATGCCAGTAGCTGGGACGCCCGCCTCTCCCCTGAAAAGCGTGTTCTAATATAGTCTGTTTACCTTCGTCTTTTCACCTACGATGTTCTTTTCTAGTTCTGTGATTTTCCGGTTTAGATGATCCAGAATCTCCTTCTCCTTCATGAGCTCAGCAGTCTCGGATTTCTGCTCTCCATCCAAAAGAGCGCATTCCATATCCAACTAAGGACATACAAGAAAGCTCAGAAACATTTCACCTTCAGGAACCCCTGCCCACTGCTGAGGTGCAGGCTGAACAGATTCTCAACAAGTGTTAGCGACCAGCCAGATTGTGGGGTTTAGGCATGAAACCTGGGATGCCTGCCTAAGAAAGACAGATGGGCGGGGGAGGGGGGAGCCCACTCTATACTGGCTTAAAATGCTGGTTACCTGAGCACTTCACTTTCCAACTGCAACTTCCACTGAGGAATAGTTTGCCTGTTTGCTTAGGCTTTAGCTCAAGAAAAAAGTGCCTGGAGTACAGCCAGCTCTTGTTTGTCCCTGGAGTCTAAGTAGTGAACATTATCCCACCCCCATAAGAGAGGCCCACATTCCTAGAGGATTCCGGGGGTACAGGAGATGACAGGTGAGGAGTCCCCTCACTATACTCTCAGGACTACTGGCACCATCTGTGAGCACTGACATGAAGACTCCACCTCCCACCCCAGGCAGAATTCTGTGTTTCCTGACACTCTATATGAAAGTACCATTAAAACGGCCACTGCCTTCTGCTTCTATTAAATGACAGAGTCTACCTCCTGTTCTGCAAATCTATAGAAAGTTGGTTTTACATTTAATTCATGTGTGGATCCCTTTATAGTATCTACATGATACCAATGCATACTAAGAATGCTCATAAAAAGTTTGTTGGATTTGAACTTGAATACTTCATAAATAGAGGTTAATTTAGCAATTGATTCTGCAACCAGAAAGCACATATCATATTAACCAAAAAGTTTTGGCTAGATATAAAGTGCATTAAAGCTGGCTTAATATGTTTACGCCATCAGATTATACAACGCACACATGCACACACACACACACACACACACACACACACACACACACACAGAATATGAGGCAGGGCTCTCTACAAATGATTCTCACTGAACAAAAACATAGAGGGAACTGTTTGTTCATGTTAACCTCCATGAATTCACCTCCTAGGCCTGTTCCACAATGAGCAGAAATATATAAGCTGATGGAAAAAGAGAAAAGGCAGAGAGTAGATGGTAAGCTCCTAGCTTATACCTCTCGGGAAGATTCATCCATTTGGTCATTTATGTCTTTGATTTTCTGTTCAAGCTCCTCAAGGTTGTTCAGAATCACCATCCGGGCGTCTTCCATTGCAGCCAACTCTTGAGTCCTTTGTTCCTCATCTATATCCTCTGGGGTCTGTGGTCAAGCAAAACAGATATGGGTTATTCCCACTTCAGCTCTAGAATTTTCCTCTCAGACTTATAAAACAGCTGCAGGCCTTAATGTGTCCATGTTCCTTCACATGGGTATGGCTGGGAGGACCAACCTGAGCTACATGAGACCTTTCTCAACCAAACAAAATAAATCAATCAAAAAGCATTTTAAAGAGTACCTGGGACAGTTTCATTGAACTATAATGCATTTTCTCACAGAGACAACACTGCTCTACTCAATTACATACCTAGACGAGAGCCAACAAACCAACTTCTATTCACAAATTCATATCCTTTTACAGCTCAAAGAACTGAGAGGCTATCCAGATGAGGAAGTGGTAGAATGCAGAGATGAAGTGGCCTCTTCTATATTATAAAGTTCAACACGTGCACACACACACCAGGGAACCAGAAACAAGGCTGGACCTTTGACACCTTCCTTCAGGCCATCTTTCAGCATGGTGCTATGTTGCTAGCTTCCTTAAAAGCTCCATCTATAGAAGTCTTTTAACTCTCTAGCCACATTGCTAGGTCTTGCTATTAGGGTTGCCTCCAAATAAATATTTATACTTATTTATTTGCTTCTAATACAAGGTGGCCATCAGCTTTGACATGACCGTGCCACACACTGTCAAATGGCTATATTTGATACTGCTAGTGGATGCCGCGTGCGTTGTGTTAGTTCACTCTTCACTAACCTTGTCTTCTCACATGGTTAAGAAATCAACGGGACTGAGAATAAGACACTGGTCACCATTTTTTACACGGAATAACCCAGGTTTCAAGGAAAGCGATGAGAATGCCCAACACCTCCTATGACAGTGCATTCTCACAGTCTCACACATTTAATGGCAAATTTGGGGGGAAGAAAGGAGTGGTGTGGATGATGTACAAAGCCCAGCATGCTGAGCCACTGCTCACAAAGAAAACAGACTACATCAACATTGTCTCTTCTCCCCAGGAGTTTGGATTAGCTATGTTGAGTGTCACCTGGAAGAGATAAAAATCTTTCTGTATAAAAAGAGAGGCCAGGGGTGTTATTATTTAATTTTTGTATCTTTTGGAATAAGTGACTTTGGGATAAGTAAGTTGGTGACCAGATATTCCCCAAGTTAAAAATGAAAACAGCAGCCCAGTTAAGTACATTCCTGACTATCCTTCTTTAATACTTAAAAAGATCATTCACAGCCGGGTGGTGGTGGCACACGCCTTTAATTCCAGCCTTCGGGAGACAGAGGTAAGCGGGTCTCTGTGAGTTCGAGACCAGTCTGGTCTACAAGAGCTAGCTCCAAGACAGCTTCCAAAGCCTTTCTGCCTTGAAAAACAACAACAACAACAACAACAACAACAACAACAAATCATTCACAGGACATGGTGGTAAAATTTATAATCCCAAGATGTGGGAAGTGGTGGTAGAAGGACTTCGGATACTTCATGACCAGCCTGATCTACTCAGCAAAACTGAGGTTAGCCAAGGCTACAATAGGCAGACCAGGTCTCAGAAAACCAAACTAAATCAACCGACCAAACAAACAACCAAACAACCAACCAAACAAACAAAAATCACAGAAATTAGAGGAACCAAATAATCACTGCACCTGAATTTACTGGGTTCATTTGTTTCTTAATCCTGATATAACTTTAAGGAAATGTCTACCATGCCATAGTCTACATGATTCATCTGTAGTCTTCATTTCTTTACCCCATTTTGTAGTTCCAAAAGGAGACTGAATAACTAAAAATTCACAATCTTGGCCCAGTGTGGTTACTCACATCTGTAATCCCAGCACTCCCGAGGCAGAAACAGGCAGATCTCTGTGAATTTAAGGCCAATAGATACAAAACATTTGACTCACAAAGATATGATAGATGATAAAATATTTTCTTTAATTTTGCCAAATACAAATAGACTGGATATTGCATCTGTAATTCTTACTTTATTACTTTTTGTTGTATATAATCTTACTATGTGAAAGCTAAAACCTTCCTTTTTTATTAAACAAAAGGGAGGAAATACTGTCGAATAAACCTCGTGTATACTGTAAAGATTTGTCACCCGAATTGGTTTACTTAGATGCTGATTGGCCCCTAGCAAGGCAGGAAGTATAGGTGGGACAACCAAACTAAGGATGATGGGAACGAGAAGTGTGGAGTCAAGAGACTGGCCAGACATGGAGAGAGCAAGATGGGCCCAATATGCTGGGAAGAGGTACTGCTACGTGGCAGAGTGAAAATAAGGAATATGGATTAGCTTAAAATGTAAGAGATAATTAATAATAAGCCTGAGCCGTTGGCTGAGCATTTATAAGTAATATTAAGCTTCTGTGTGGTACTTTGGGAAGTGGCTGCCAGGGATTTGGACCCAGTGGCTCTGAGACAGGAAACTTCTGCCTACACGATACCTCACTCTGACACACTACAGCTTCAACAACAAAATTTTTTTCTTTTAAATATCATTTTATTTTATTTTGCAGGGAGCTTGCAAGGGCAGAGGGTGGATATGAGAGAACGTGTAGGTGAATGGGCTAGGGGTGCAAGATATGAAACCCACAAAAAAACAACCAAAAGTTAAAAACAAAAATCTATTATCTCAGTAGGTTAGAACAAAGACACATAGGTCTTTCAAGCTTTGACATTTAGTTTTTTTTTTTTTTTATTGTCATCTTAAACCACTGTCTCACCAACTAATAAAACAACTGCTGGCCTTTCTATTACACAGAATGAAGTTTATTGTCTCAGTGCCCAGGCACTTACTTTAGGTGGGGAGGAGTGTCTAACCATGAATGGCACTCAACACTACTACCCAGTAACTGCAGCAGGAAAGCCTGACAACCTTCAGAAAGCATCTGAAGGCCAGGATCCTGTTAGTCAGCATCGAATATTAGGTTTCTACTTCCAATGTGGTTTAAACATATCCGCCACCAGTGGAAGCAAAGCATTAGGAGAAGACAAAACAAATGAACAGTCTGCAAACTGCAGGGAGTGAAGATAATTAACAATAGACATGCTGAGTATTTATATGACTCAAAGTTTTTAGAAACTCTATCACAATGGGCTTATTTAACAGACTTTCTGTAATAAAGGGTACACAAGGGTTTTTGGGAGTTGTTAGGTTATATTCAAGAGGCATTTTAAAACTGAATGCTTTTGTTTGTTTTTGAAGATTTCTTTATTTGTGTATGTGTTGCCTGCATGCATATCTGTGTCCAAGGAGACCTAGAACTGGAGTTATAGCAGTTGTGAGCTATCTGAGGTGGGAATTGAACCCAGATCCTCTGCAGGAGCAGCAAATACTCTTAACCACTGAGACATCTCTGCAGCCACCAAACTGAATGTTTTGTGACAGAATGGAAGGAGTGTTTTATTGTAATCTCATTAATTTAACAGAATAAAGAAAACCGGTGGAGAACCAACCCTGTGACAGGAGATGGATAGCTTTAATGATATGGTGACTAAAAAGTGAAATTTTGAACACATTGCTCTTTATTTCAAGTGTGGGATTTATTTTTATAGCAATGCAACTACCACACCTATATGTGCATCAGCAAATATGTCATCTCCGAGGTAACTTGGTTCACAGACAGAAGCAGAAGAGAGAGAGGTAAGGGATAAGATGATTTCTACGTCTACTCCCATCATTTTGTACACCTCCTGCAGCTTCCTGAGGAGCGTGGCTTGTCACTGTGGATGGAACAATCACCGAAAAATAGGCCAGGAGCTGTCCATGAGTCAGCTAACTCAGGTAGTGGTAGACAGCTTCACAAAGACCATTCAAACGAGTGTATTTCCAAGGTCACGACCATCTTTCAGTGCTAAATAAACTAAGTTCCTGACTTGTAAATTTCAGCTTTCCTAAATGCCATAAACATCTTTTTTTGTGACAGATTTTGAGTGTTTTTTTTTTAAATATTCCTCTCTTCTCTACTTTCCCACTTACAAATTTAACCAATAATAAGCACTATCCTTCATTAAGCAAATAATCCAGGAGCACAATATTAGGAAGAGGACACTCCAAGCAGAGGGCCAGGAGGTTTGTCTAAGTTTTCTGCTTCTGTTCTTGAGCTATCACAGGCCTGTATTTGAAAACTAGGTGAAAACCTATCCCTTGGAACCCATTGCCCTCTCATTTGCATCCTGATGTGCTTGGTGGCCATCTGAGATGAGTTTGATGTTTCCTGTATCAATCACTATAGTCTGAGACAATGGACCCTGCATTAATCTCCAGGCCTCCAATTCCACAAGACCTTATATGAGCAAATTAAAACCTCTGCCAGGATCTGCTTGTTTAAACAAGCTTTCTTGTCAGAGCCTTCCGCCAGAAGACACGCATTAGAGAGAATACACAGCTCAAAGATATTAACAAAATCAAGCCGCTCTATATAAAGGAGAAGAGATAGAAAACAAAAATGATGGATGTCACAAATCTGTAAGGAAGTGGCTGATAACTGTCCACAGTTTCAAAGGGATTGACCTACTTTTCCGGAGTATCCAATAATTTTTTTCAAAAAAATGTATTTTTATTTCATGTGTATAGGTGTTTTACTTGCATGTATGTCTTTGTGCCATGTGCACATAGTATCTATGGAAACCAGAAGAGGATATCTAATTCCCTGGAACTGGAGCAACAGACCACTGATTCCTGCCACATGGATGCTGAGAAGTGTACCCAGGTCCTCTGGAAGTGCAGCTAGTGCTCTGAAACACTGAGCCATCTCTTTAGCCCCAACACAGTAACTTTTCATTCCTTGGTCCCAGCTCCATCTTTACATCCTAACTGCTGAGTTTCAACTTGTCAGCAGGAAGGCCAGATGTGCCACTGAGAATTTCTCTCCTGTGAGAATTTATGTAAGAGAAACATGGCATGAGAAGGAAGAAGTGGTTGATGTATACCGTATACATTAATATGCATGCCACAGTCCTGATGTGCAGCAGGTGGTGCCCAATAACACATGAGAACTTCCGACCAGGAAGAACCAGTATGAAAGTACTGCTATATAGTTAAACTACAAAAATATGACCACATATACAAGCTTCCTTGGAAAATGATCCATGTGAAAACTAGGACTTGGTACCATGATGTTAAATTCAAATGTCCTTTTCTAAAGTAAATAGCTCTATTGTTAATATTTGCATTTTTGTTCAGGATTGCTTTTGTGTGTGTGTGTGTATGTGTGTTTGTTTGTTTGTTTGTTTTTGGTCTTTTTGTGGGTAATGCTGGGCTTTAAACCCATGGTTTTGTGCAAGCCTTTTACCACTGAATTATATCCCTGCTATTTTTCTTAAAGGATCAATATTTGGGCTGGAGAGATGCTTTAAAGGTTAAAAGCACTTCTTGATCTTATAGAGGACCCAGGTTCAATTCCCAGCATTGACATGGTTGTTCACAATCATCTGTAATACCAGTCCCAGGAAACCAATGCCCTCTTCTGACCTCCAGGGGTACCAGATGCATATGGCAGGGGCGGGGCTGGGGAAGCACAGATATACCTGCTGACATTTATACATATAAAATAATTTTAAAAATGTAAGTTATGTATTCTTCTAAAAAAGAAATAAAAGCCCCAAATTAAAAGATCTTTTGTTGATATCATTTTGTGGCCATGAGGGTTAAAAATTATAGATGGCATTATATTAAGACTTACTTTAATTAGTAAACCCTATTCATTTTTAAATGAATAAACCCACCTCATACTTGTGGTAGCATTTCTCTCTTATTTTGGTATTTTAGTTTAGCAAATGGAATGTATCTTAATTCTGAAGCATCCTCGTTGCAAAAAAGATGGTAGGAAATTCATAGAAACTTTTCTAGAAAACAAAAGTTCTTAATCTGTGTAGAAAAAATAACACTAAAAATGTTATTGAACATTTTTAAAGTCCTGAAATTTGGAAGATATTTGTAAGCCAGTATACAGTCAGAAGACTGGATAATAACTATAATTACCAGTAAATATTAAACCTTTACATTTCTAAAATGGGTCATAAATAAAGCCACTGAGAAGGTCTCTCGTAACAAAAGAATAATATTACCAACAAGCACTCATTATAAATATTTTGTTATGTTTTGTTTTTCAAGACAGGGTTTCTCTATGTAGCTTTGGAGCCTTTCCTGGAACTTGCTCTGTAGACCAGACTGGCCTCAACTCACAGAGATCTGCTTGCTTCTGCCTCCTGAGTGCTGGGATTAAAGGTGGGCATCAGCAATGCCCAGCTACATTTCTTATAATTACGTAAAGCTTGGGTAAATTAAAGAAAGAGTCAAAATGAAAAATATTTTGAAATATAAAATGTATCTATTTTATGTATAATTAAAGATAAATTTAATTATCTTTCAGCTTGGAAAATTGACAAATTATGACAGTACAAAGCCTTAACAAGAACATGGGGAACAAATTGTGCCATAAACTAGTGAAAGTATGTGGCAGAAGATAAGCTTTTTTAAAAAAAAATTTTTGAGATTATAGTAATATTATAGCATTTATCGCTTTCCGTTTCTACCCTGAAACCCTCCCATATAACATTCCCCACTCTCCTTAGAATTCAGGGCCTCTTTTCTCACTCATTGTTATCACATACATATATTTATAATACATACATAGCCTTACATATAACCTGTTTGGCCAATATGATGTTACTTGTATGTGTTTTCAATGCTGACCAATTGATAATGGACATGTTCTCTTCCCTGGGGAAGAGCATCTGTCTCACTCCCAGCTTTTTCTAACTGACTATAAAAGTCCTATGAATAAAAAAATTCCATCAGAATTCTGAAAAACAAACTAGGATAGTGCAGTATACACAAATGCCCCTTTAATGGTGGGAGGGCATGAAGAACAGTGGGTGTGCACGTGAATCCATGTGCACGCAATATAACAAGGCACACAAGCCTTATTATATAACAAGCAAGACTCACAGCCTTACTTCACAAGGCACACAGCAAGGCATGTAAGCAAGACTCACAGCCTCACTTCACTTCTTCAGCCTATTGCTGAGAGGGGCAGGGAGAAGATACAGGGTAGCTACATCTTCCCAGGGCAAATGTTACTTTACAGCAGTGGTTCTCAACCTTCCTAATGCTGTGGCCCTTCACTACATACAGTTGCTCATGTGGTGGTGAGCCTCCCAACTAGAAAATTACTTTTGTTGCCTGCCACTTCATACTATAATTGCTACTGTTACGAATCGGAATATAAATATCTGTGTTTTCTGATGGTCTTGGTGACCCCTGTGAAAGGGTCATTTGCCTCCCACCCCAGGAGTCGTAACCCCTAGGTTGAGAATCACTTTTTTACCTTGTCATTTAAGTACCTCCAATGTACTGTACTACAATGAAGCTGTACTCCAATGTCAAGACAATGCCTGTGATTTTCCTTTCGTTTCCCTGTGGAAGTATGTGTTTGGCCCTGTTCCCCGGTTGTGGTCTTTCACCCAATATTACCTTCGGTAGGATACTGAGGTAGGAGGACTCATTGGATGTTTTCAGAAACGCAGCTGAGGATGGTGGGGGCGTCCTGGTGAGGTCACCAAGCAGTTCATCGTTCCTGCTGCCCCTGGGGGCCAGGAAGCTGGCACTATGGCTGAGGCTCCCGAAGCCCGCAACATCAACATCCTGGAGAGAGCCTTTCCGATGGCACCTGTACCTGGCGTCGGGGCACACCAGAGCCTCCTCAAACACGGACTCCTCATCGGACAGCTGCAGCTTCTCCAGTTCCTTGTTGATTTTCTGCACATCAGCCACCGTGGTGCCAGCGGACAGGCGTCGACCGTCTGGCTTCTTGGACTCAGCACAGAGACTGAGGATGGTCTCAAACTGCTGCCGCTCCTACAACATGGAAGGGGGAGAGGTCACTGAGGGTGACAGAATGAGACAACTCGAGACTAACTTTGGAGCTGGAGGGCTGGTACTGAGCCTTCCTCCTGCTTTTCCCTCTCTCCCTTTCTCCTTTTTGAATTAAGATCCCTTGTTGTATACCATTAAATTCATAATCCTCCTCTCTTGAAGGCTGGGACTAGTATGGACCATCCAGACCTGGCTCCCAACACTTTCTAAGGTGCATTTAAGGACGGAGATGGAACTGTTCGTGATTCCTGGCTTCTCCTCTAAACCCGGTGCTAGTTTCCTACCCTTCGCCTGTGTATATGTGTGCTGACTATAGCATCCATCAAATTCCAATAACCTTGATTTATCAAGTCTCCAACACTTTGAACATTTTTCTTTGAGTCTACATTTCTATGCAGTCTTAACTTCCCTCCTTCTCCTAATTCCAAATTATGAACTTAACACTTGCATTTAAAAACGAACACTCTAACTTCACAGAGAAATTATCTTTTTTACTGTTAGCCACACCAAGAAAGAAATGGCATTTAAAATATCTTTCAATGCACAGGCTTTGTCTGTGTCTTCCTTTTTTTCTTCCATCAAAAATTTCAAACCTTTTAAAATGACTGCTCACTATGAAAAGGCCTTCTTCAGTTCTTCATATGAATAAAACTGTCTTTTAAATGTATAGATGGGGCTAGAGAGATGGCTCAGCCAGAAAAGGTATGAACTGACAAGTTGGGTGACCTGAGTTCAATCCCTAGGACTTCCATGATGAAAGGAAGAGATCTGACTGCTGCAAGTTGTCCTCTGACCTCCATATATAAGCTATGGCATGTGTGCTATCCTACACACACACACACACACACACACACACACACACACACACACACACGAATAATATATAATTAAAATGTATAATTGTTGCAATAAAATAAAGAACATTTCACATCAAGTCCTGATAGAACGACATCAATGTAGCTCAAAATTCAAAAGCATTGGATGTACAATTTGTGTAACTGAAAAATAAAATGGCGATTTACTTAATAAAGAAAAAAGGCCACAGGCCATCAAGGTCTCAAATAATACCACTCACTAACTGACCCCTCACCAGACTCCATATAAAAATCCAGACATTTATAATTTTAAGCAAATTAATAACATAGTTATGAACAGCAGGAAATAATTTACCAAGTGGTTCTCATAAGCCTAGACAGCCTTGGGGTGGGGAGCCTCACACAAATCTAATGCCAAAATGAAAACAAGAATCCAAACCGAAGGCCATCTGCTGTGATTAAATTCTACCACACTGGAAAGAGACTTCAAAAGCCCCCCCTAGAAAAACACGTCACAAACTGGCCATCAGCTATAAAACAGAAACATATTCTGCACACTGTGTGGCTCATTTTCATTCCAATTGCAGCTAATTTGTGAAGGCAAATTCAGAGTTACTTCTTTCTCAGTCACAGAAGTAACAGAGAAATAACACATCACTGGGGTTCCCTGGTTTCCATTCAATGCACTAACTGACAACAATTAGAACTCATTTCAAGTGTATCTGACGTATGTGTGCCCTTTGAAGTAGCCCCCTCCCTCTAAAAGAGTAATAACTTGATCAAAAAGTCCATTGAACAGGTCCGTGTAAACTCCCACCTCCCTGTCACTGCATGAACTTCTGGGCTCCAGCTGCAGGTCTGTCCTCATGGCCTCTTCCCAGGCGGGCACTCATAGCTGGACAAGCCTGGCTTTTTTCATCCAGGAGCCCTGGCCCTTATTTATCTCTGCAGCTGCCACCAGCTGCCAAGCCCTACCCACCCTGGCTCTAGGGGGAGGCAGTAGGGGACACAGCATCTATTGGCTTATTTTAAACTACGCAACAATCAAGACTACTCTACACAGGAATACATAAAAAACACTTTGTGAGGGCATAGATAAGAAGAATGGGACATGGGTTAGATATATCTTCACCTCCCTGTGCAACATCTGCACCAGGGACTAAATCTCCAAAGAAAACTCCCCTTTCTGGAATTTGGGTTTAAGCGGAGGCATCTAGACTCAGTCTCGGTCTTTTACACAGGATGTACACAGTATCCTTGCCACTTGTGATTATCTGACATGATTGATTTGCATTTCCCAGGACCCCAAGAAACGGTATAATCTTCAAATGAAGGAAAGGTACTCCTGCCTGGACTAGGAGACACAGCAACATTCCTCCCACAACTCCCTCCCAAAATAGTTGCCTTAGCTGCCTGGGCTGTTGCTTAATTTCAGAGGGAATAAATGATCCCATCCCTAAGATGGATGCTATTTCAGACAGCGAGACGCAGTATTCAAAGGCTTGTGCACAGGAAGTTTGGTCTACTGGTATGTGTCTCGCTATTCTTATCACCCCATTCACAGCCAATCTGTCCAGAATGAATCAGACACACATGCAGCACCACTGCCGACAAATCTAAAAGAAATCCATGTGGTGCCAAGACACACTGGCCCCTTAAAAGCTGCACCAAAGAGAAATAGGCTGATACCAGGAAGCGCGTCAGAAGGGGGACTGCAGAGCATTTCAGAAAGTGCTCCAAGAAGCCTTTTAAGGAAGGCCCCAAGCTGAAGTGACACTCTAGATACTCCTCCCTTCAGCTCCATTCACTCTGGTGTCTGGTTCCACAGCAGTCATCTCTTGGGGATCCTCCACCTTTCCTGAATGACCTCAAGCCAGGGCACAGACTGATACTCAGTCTTCCTTGAAGCTTGGCATTGCAGTGTGCAAAGGTGGGGGTGGACCACTTTGAGATCTCCAAATCATCCTGTCCAGTGTCCCACATCAGTAATCTCCCATTTAGAAGACTGGTGGCTGCTAGTCCAGATGCCAACATCACTATGATGTTAAGTACTAGAAAGCAAAATTATTCTAAAAACATTCCCTCTCTCCTTTCCTATTTCTCCTTCCCCCATCTCTGCATCCCACATATACCCAGAGCACTTTGAAGGGGTCATAATAGTTTTTAAAATGCAATGAAAATATTACCATGCAATTCTCGGACCTTAGACATTAACATTTTTAAAGGTGTTGAAGGCTGGTAATAAATTTTTATTTCCAAACTTTCTATTTCAGGAGATTATTTCTGACATTGCTCTGTTAATCCCCTAAATGGGACAGTAAAAACCCATCCATTCTCCCTGAAGCCAACATCTGCTGGTCTAGCCCACAAGACAGGGAAAATACTGAATAAATAAATTATGCAGAAAACCAGCTACCAATTGATGGGGAAAGTACTTCTGTGTATGTTTATCTTATTGATTGTTGACTAAAATACTGTTTGGTCAATGAGATAGCAAGTTAGACGGGACTAGGAGTCAAAGAGGATTCTGGGAAATGTAGTAGAGAAGTGGTGATCCAGGCAGGAAGTGACATAGCAAGGAGACTCATATTTAAGCAAAGGAGAAACATGAAAGGTCCCTTTTCCCCTTGCTCCTCCAGCAGCACAATGTGATCCACCGGCAAGGAGGGACGCCAATAAGGAATCCGATAAGATAAGTCTTATAAAATATATAGGTTTATGATAATTAAGACTGAGCTAGACGATGAGGAATCCTAGTCATTGGCCAAGCAGCTTTGAACCTAATACAAGTTTCTGTGTATTCATTTGGGCATAACTCGGACCGGCAGCTGGCGTAAAGCTCACACGTGGCGGTGGGGCTCAGGCGGCTTTTGGCAGAAAGATTTATCGTAACAACCAATGCATGAAACAGAAGTGAAATGCCTGCTAGATGATTTGTTATGATGTGCTGAGTCAATTATTTCACAGAACAAAAAGTATCACCCTGTAGTAGTTACATATGAGTTAGTCAAAAAGAAGCACTTTTCTCCCTCCAAAGGACCTCTTTTGACAGGTAGATACGGCTCTACTTTTCTCTTTTTTTAATGCTAGGGACTCACTGACTCGGTAATCATGAGTTTTGGCAAAAATATATTAAGTGACTTGTTTCCTGTTGGTGTGTACAGAATATGTAGGTGAAAAAGGAACCCTTCTTTCCTCATATTTCAATAGCAGGGACAGAAAAGTGACTAGCTACAGAAACAACAATTCAAAGAGGCTTCAAAAAACTCTATGGATTAAGGATGGAAATGTAGCTCAATGGCAGAGCAAAGGAGATCTAAAAATGACCAGCAGAATACAAAGAGGTAGAGTTAAAGGCATCTATACGGAATTTCCAGGATGCCAGGAGCACAGGCTAATGTCTCAATTAAGTAGGCCTGGCTTGGTGATGGTGATGTATGCCTATAATCCCAGCATTTAAATAGTTACGTCTCTTATGTGTGTTCAATTCTTCCTACATCTAAATCCCTTGAGGTTAGTAACTGGGGTATTAACATTTTATCTTTTTGGGGGCTTGGCCAAAATGGTTTTTCTCTACCCCATCCCCAAACTACATGGTCTTCAAGTTTGTGCTGGCTGATGAAATGCAAGAAGCAATGGGTGACACTCCTGTACGACAAGCAGGTAGCATTTATTCCATGGCTTCCTTAGCTATGGCAGACTGATCCCAAGAGAGGAAGTGTTGAGCAGAGGTCTTAATCAACCCATACTGGCCATGAAGTGCATGTGGAAGAAATAGATCTCTATTATTTTAAACTTCTGAAATATATTGTATTCTTTTTTTTTCCTAGAGAAAAATAACTGATAACTTGTGCTTCCTTTTATGAGGAAACGGGCCCAATACTTGGAGAGAAGGGACATACGGATCCTGGTAAAGAATCCTCAGTTATTTACTGAATAAATATTTAGCTTTGTCCAAAGACAGACCTTCATTTAGGGCAGGGTTAGAAGTATCTAATAAACATAGGATGGAGATTGGATACTACACAAGGACTAATCAGGTAATTTTCTATGGAAGCCTTGGGTCAGGGTCCACTCAACAAAAAGACTGAAACTCCATGGTCAATCAATCATCAATGAAACATGCATGACAAAGGCTCAATAAAAAAAAATCTATAGACAATAGGG